AATGGAGTTAAATCTCTGGGTGGGTTAGCAGGCACGCCTCGTTCTCGCTCAAAACCCTGTGATTAACGGCACGATAGCGTAGACACTAATCACAGAACTGCAGTTCCAAGCTATTTACGACATGACTATTTTACGGCAAACTATAAACGGAATAAACATGAGCCAGATTAATCCGGTTTAGGTTATGTCCGATACAAGAACGGCAACCATGAAAAGCACAATGTTCACAATCAACTATGTTAGTGGTAGAGGGGATGCAGTAGTTTGTGCGATGACGAGATTGATGGATAAGGCGATATAACTAAAGGCAGTATGAAGGGAGGACTTGGGGGAATTCTCACACAGAACAATAGTGAGACTAGTGTGCATAATTTGTGTTGGGTAAAAAGTTTCGAAAACAACCCTTCGGCTGCTATAGGGGCAAATTCGTTATAACATTTTCGGCTTGGAAGGAAGGATGACCAACTTATTCATACAGCAACATTGGCCGGCCTCCAAAACGTGTAGTGGGCGAGGAAAGTAGTAGATGCATTGTAGTAGGCGTGCTTCAATGCTAACCTTTCTTACGGCTTAAAAGGGGAGCAGTAAACAAGTAGACTGTTAGTGGAAAGTACAACTGTAGCTATTGGGAAAAAGTACAGGAAAAGTGGCATGAAGATATTCTCGGAGGAACATTTTACATGTATACATACAGAGCCCGTTCCCCTGTCGGTTTTCTATCGGGAATATACAATGGTAGGGGGGCGCTCACCGATTGTTCATACGGAACTCACTCGTTCCGCTGTGCCTTAAGGGCTCTCTCTCGAGCCCAACCAGCAGCCGCACAGCGGCGCATGATATATAGACAGAATGATATAACCGACAAAGACACGGGTGACTGGATGGCCATTCCTGGCTTATTAGCCGTCGTGAGCCAATCTTACCTAGTCTCAGGTCTGCCGGCACATGCCGTTAGAATCCATGTTTTTTGGTTATAAAACGTCAATAAGTCCAACGCTCCAACCAATGAGCCAAAAACGCATTGTCCTGTCGGCTGCGATCGAGAATATTAACTGGTGTTGGAGGTGCGTTTACCGATCGGGTTACGGTACATGCTAATTACTTTGTGCGTTTGGGCACAGTATAGAAGTGAGACAAAAACTACCTGAAATTACCTTAGACTCTGAAAGTAGCAATGCATCCGCATGGAGGACTATTTAACACAGTATGACTGCAGCCTCACTGACGCCACCGTCCGCAGCGCATAATTGTGCACAATGTACCCGACTCCTACATGAGAAACTCCTAGCGCCAAAGGCATTGTTCGCCTAATTTAACACTTCCAAACTGCACGTCTGTTGCGATTTAACTGAGTCAACTATAATCTGGCAGTGGTGGCAGTCGCTGAGGCGTCCGCTTTGGGGACTTCAAAATAATTGTCAACAGATGCATATTTAACTATCTATACAAATAAATACTTTTAAAAGTGTGTGCTAAAAACCCCGATTTATCTAACAAAGTTGAGGACATGGTGAGACGAGCTTCAATCCGCAACTAGACAAAAGTCTCGGGGGTACAGAGCCGGCTCTATGGCGTGCTTTATAACAAAAAGCAGTATCACTATCCCGTATTTAATTCATTTACACGATGTAATGGAGGTCAGAGAGGGGTGGAATAGGTCTGAAAGGCCTCCTAAGCGTTCGTGTGCACATAGTGCCTACGTAATGAGAACTCCATGAGCACTACTAGCACGTGGCAATTCCGTGTTAGCACTCACACGAACGGAGGCGCACCAATATTGTTACCTACTGATTAAACCATTATAATAAGAATGCTAGCACTGCATTTAAAATATTTCATAAGGTTATAATTTCTCATGCTGATTTCTGATAACATCGAGACCATAATATCCTCTGCTAGCGTATTATAATAAGAAAGGCAAAACCATAAACTGTTCTAAAAGATCCGGGAATGACGGGAGAAGATCAAACAGATTGCAAAATATGCTGCTCTATAGCATACACATCAAAAGGAGCAGAGAACAGTCGAATCAGACAATTGACAGGATCTGTTGATTTTTCTAACTCTGTTTGAGCTTATTAAAACTGAAATCGCCATTTCTTTGGGGGCTTCGTAATTTTCTTAGTTATTGCCGTGATTTTCTTCTTCAAATTTGGCCATCTTTCCCAAATTTCGATTAAAAATTTCAATTACGTCTCAGAAAAGAGAGTACCCTCAGTTTAAAATTTGCTACAGTCTTTAGCCGGCTACCTGTGTAAATAAAAGGAGACTGTAAAATAATCCACCGCCAATAAAGGGTCAGGTAGTGCTCTAAATAGTGCGTAAACGGGACCTTTGTTTCTCTTTCGTCTGAGAAAAAATTAGAAAATAAGTGGGGATAAATCAGCGTCAGAAACGAAGAGCAGAATTGTTAAAGCTTAAAACACAACCAAGACAAGCAAAAGCTAATTGAAAAATTCAAACCACACTGAGCATGAAAAGGAATGACATTGTTACGTCTGTTTACAGTGTCTGCCGCAATGATCTCTACCAGACTCATGCTGGGGCCACAAATAACCCAAATTACTGGAATTGCTATGCACATTCATTCGGGTAAAACAG